TTAAAGAGTCTTCGTGAGAAAGAAAGAGAGAGAGAGAGAGTGGCAGAGAAAAAGAGAGAAAGAGAAATTGTCAAACTCCCCAACACGCGTCGTCGCGTCACATGTGTTTATCGAGATAAAGCGAGATCGAGCGTTCGCCTTTGAAAATCCTTTGTTTTCGTTTCTTTTTTTTTTCTCTCTCTCACTCGACTCGCGGCAGCGGGACTCCGTCGTGATAAAATATCCTAATCACCTCTCGGCTCGTAAATTTACCCGGTAATCTAGCAGATAATGCGCTTGCGTATTATTATATGAACAGAAGGGCCCAGCGCGGTCCCTATCGCGACCCTGAGTGCATCACTCATGCTTCCTCGTTCTCACAATGTACACACGGGCCCTACTACGAGTCATTTACTTAAATCCTTTTAATAACGCCGCGACATTTGTTAATAACGGCGCCAACGACGCTGAGCGCGGCCCCGCGAGGTGGTATCTGAAGACGGTGCATGTGGGTGTGTGTGTGTGTGATCGGTGCGTCGTTTTGTGTCACGTCGCGTCTCGTGTCGTGGATAATTAACGGCCACGTGAGTTTTCCTAAGGAGCCTTGCACGGCCCTCGTAAATAAGACTTAATCAGCCGGCAAGTGAAAAGAAGAAGCCGAGAATCTCAGAACGACCCGGGCAATCGGAGATCCTCTCGCGTATGTATATGTGTGTGTGTGTGTGTATGTATGTGTGAGCTGGGTCTCTCGACGAGGATTTATCTCGTCTCTGGATTCGAGTCTCGCACCCTCTCCGTCGAGCGCGTGACTTTTACAGCCGGTGAAACGAGCGATTTACAAATTTTATCCCGCCTCCAGAATAATCTCGTTATTAGTACGCTTGTTCGGAGGTATTTACGATATTGGCTCGCGACCAATTCCCCACCGGTGATATATTATTACGCGCGGATATGATTCATTTTAGGGAAAAATGCGCGGCATCCCGCGTGATGGGCCGACCGTTGTCGTCGGACTCACAGGTTCAAAGTGGGCTTAATTCTGGCCGAAGGTGAGAGTGCTTGTCACGCGTGAGCTGTCGAGCAATTGACGGCGGAAAAAGGAAATGTGCCGAAATTGAAGAAGTGGAACGCACGTTGTTCTGAAAAGTTATAATACTGAAATAATCTTCCAAAGGGTAAATTTATCGCAATGTTGGAATTGTGTCGTTGTGCAACTCTGGACGCATCGGTACACGAGGAGAATTTTGTAGTGAATATTACTATGGAATTTTATGAGGAATACTGAGGAATAGATCGGCATTCTGCGATAATTTATTACTCTTTCATTTCATATGTGCTATTTATATTTTAGAAACTGAAATGTGCTATTGAAATATTTACTATGTTTACGGCGAAATTTACTGTGTTTTTTAGCAAAACAAAATTTGCTGACAATTTATTTTCCTGCATTATTAGAAATATAGTAAAATTGAAAAGAATTTATATAAAAAAAAGAATACATACACACAAAAGAACACACACACACACACAAACACACATTAGATTGTCAAAATCAAAATGCGCTATAGAAAATTTTGCTGTGTTTCTAGCAGCTCCATCACCGACAGTCCTGCACTCTATTATAGAGAAACATAGTAACTCGAAGAGAATTCATATGAAAAAGAGAAAAATTATAATATATTTTTCGTGTAGCGATTATGACATCATCACGTGTCAGATACCTTTATTAGTCAGCAAACAGTAACATCGCATCAATGTTATAATTTCTCATTCAACGACGTAACTGTGTTACGAACAACATATGTGTAATATCACATTTACATTATTGAGTGAAAAATTGTAATGTTAATGTAACGTTACGATGTTTGTTGGTATTTACTCTGACTAGTTAATTAATCACCGTTTTGTACGTAAAAAAGTGTCGAGAAATTTTATATATATATATATATATAGTCTTCATACAAATTTATTTGAAAAAATTATATAAGGTAAACGTCCCAGTGATCGAACATACATGTCTCAACGATTGACGTATTGGTTTTTGTATTTTTCTTTGTTGAAATGTTTTTCAAAACAATATAATAAATGAAAAGAAATATTTAGTTACTTTGTGATTTTGTTTCATTTATTAATAAGCATCTTAACAAACACAAGATATTATTAGTAATTCAATTACCGGTACACGTTCAATCACTAGGACGTTTACCTTATATAGTTTATTTTCATATAAATTCTTTTCAACACTATATATACACACACTATCTTTGTGCATCTGCTCATTTGAATACAGCAACAGTATTCAAATGCATACATAGACATTGTACCTACGTGTATGTACTGTTTTTGAGGTAACAATTCCTTTTCGGGACAATTGTATACTTCGGGATATTGTCTCGGTACTATGACACTTTTTTGGAAAATCGTCCGGAGTTTCCGAACCTCGAGATTTTGATTTTTCGAGGTCCATCCGGAAAAGCCGTACCGCGACGTGAATTCATCGTGATTTATGCGTTTACCGAGGGAACAACCAAATTGCTCTGCGCGCGATCAGGATTGGACGTTACGTCGCACAACACGCGAACGTCGAAGGGGTTAAATTTAGGGGCATTCTTCATCTCCGAGGCATCTCCTGGTCTCCGCGTCGACGCACGATCGGCAATAACGTCCGTAGGTGCCGAGATGTGCGATTTTGTCGGAAGGCCGAATACCGTTCCGTGACTCAGAGAGTTCTGTGTTTGTTTATGCGCGACGGAGTATCCATCCGGCACGATTTGCGAAAGTCTCTCTTCGCCACCCTCGCGCCAATAAACGCGACAGCGCAGATCCGCGGGGTACGCTCCCGTCGCCCGTTCCAGTTGAGAATACAACGAGGACGGGCGAGACGCGCGCGTATTTGCATCCGCGCAAATACGCGTGAGACAATTACGGCATGTATACGGCGCGGTCGCCGGGAATTCAGCAGTTCCTGTCAATTATGTAACGCGACTCCGTATATAAAGCCTTGTCCTCACCGTTTCCCCAGTTTCCCGTTTATTATCTCGTCATTAACGAATTCGACAGTCACGCTCAAATCATGCTCGTTTGTACTGAGTGACAAGAAATAACAAGACACTTATTCGATAGGTACTAATAACGTGTGTTCACTTACAGTAATACAAAATATTTTTCAAAATACGTTCTCTTAAAATGGGAAAAAGAATTTGGTTGGATTAAGCAAATTTCTCGTAAAATTTAGCCGTGCCAGAAGTTACCAGAATTTTCAACAGGATTTCTGATCAACTAGAACAGAAAATTCTGGTAATACTTCAGCCGGTGTTTTCTGGTTAAGTTTCTTGGTTCGTTCATATTTTACCAGCAATATTAGTTAATTCAACCAAACTTTTTTTTCAGTGCAACTTTTCATGAAAGCAGCTGTTTATTCTATTTAAATAAATTAATTTAAATTTAGATAAACATACCTAAATTTAAGTTACCAATATCCAACAAATAAAAATATTTTTTTATTTTTTAGATATTTTTTCCAGTTTTACAAAGAGCATAGCAAGAAGAAATATAAAAAATTTTAACGTAATTTTTATTATAATATTTTCTCTAAAATGTTGGCTATTAATTAACTCTGATTCTTTCAATTATCAATTATTATCGCGTCTGATATATTTTCTTTTATCGCTCACATTATTCTAATAATCTTCTAGCAATCTTTAAATCAAAGATTTTATCATAGTATAGTGATTATGTATAATTGCACAATATATAATATTGCTGCACTGATAATGCAAAGGTTAATAAGAAATTAATAAGCCAATTAATATTCTCGATCAATCAGCCAGAGAATATGCAGCTGTGGAGGAATCGATCAAATCACTATGCGTTTCGATTTGTTTTCGGCGACGAGAATTCGAGCGACATTCGTAAAGCGTCAACGTTTGCGTTAACATTGAAGCGCTCGATCTCTTGATGAATATCGCGTTGGGCTATTTTTGAGCGAAATGTATTTTCCTCAGTTCAGTTTCGTTTGTTTGTGATTTGGAACATGTCTTTATTTCGGTTTACTTGGTGCAAGGGTCAAGGAAGTTCTCGTTGTGCGGCGTTGCGGACGATGAACAATAAGTCAACTGTGAATGTAATCAGTAAATCTCAAGGTAGAAGCGAGCGTTGACAATCGTGACAAAGAGACACTGAGTCACGTTTACGAGCGAAACTTTCCTGTCATTGTTGCAAGAATTCAGTGCGGCAACCTACATAATCTACAATTCCTACGTTATAGCAGTTAATGCACGAGAGCTACAATTTATTGCGTCCTATTTACGGGGGATATTTTTGCTATTGGCAACTAATCAAATTTTCCGTGTATGTCGGGTTACACATTTTTCCGAAAACTAGATGGGAAAATGGTGGTACCAACAAAAACCCCTGAGCAACGATTTTAATTTCTGCGGATTAGTGACACTGTTGAAGTAGCAAGTCCATGAATTTTGCGAAGTCGTTTTGACATATGCGTGTGTATGTGTCAAATAACAAGCTGTCACCAATCCGCAGAAAGTAAAATTTTGTCGCTTAAGGGTTTTTCATGGTATCAACATTTTTCCTGTTGTTCTAGTTTTCCAGGAAAATGTCGTGTGTTCAGGAAAACCGTATGTTGTATCATTATGTCTTCCACTGCATAACATTACATTGCACACACATATTTCTTCGTATATCATACGTTGAAATTCTAACAGTCTTCAAATCTTTAAATCAATCTTCAAAAATCAAAGAGAGAAAATTAATTATATCATTAAATTTAAATCAGTGTTTTAATAAAAGAATTTATCATTTAATCGCGCAATTACACGATACAACATTGTCACTGATAATGCGGAAGCTAATAAGGGATTAGTAATCCAATTAGCGTTCTAATCGCTTATAAATTCGTCATTCGCTTAGAAGGAATCGCGATGACGCGAATTTTCCAACTTCCATTCACAAGTTTATTTACGTAAGTTGCAACTGCATTAACGGCCGCGCGTTTCTCGTTACAGAGCATCCTAGGAATAGAGCGGATCTCATCGCCAACGACGACGGTGACGATGACGATTGGAGAGGGAATCACCGTCACTCCTTGTACTTTCCCGTCGCAGTTCCGGATAACGAGGAAGAGCAGGACGTCACGGTCGACCACGCGTCCTTGCGATTCCTGCTGCAAGGTGATCACCGACGTCCGCACAAGCTGGAGGTCCTGGTCTATCTCCGAACGCCGGGATCTCGGCGTCTCCTCCTGCGGAACCGGATCCCGCAGACGGACTCGTCGAAGGACTCCCGTTGGCTGGAGTTGGACTCCACCGAGATCGCCGCGATCTGGCTCGAGAGAGACCTCGAGGAGAACCACGGCCTCGAGCTGGAGTTCCTCCACGACGGTCGGCCGACGCGTCGCGAGATCTCTCACGCGAGACTGAACGTCTTTACCACGTCGGAAACGGACGACGACAGTGTCGGCGGCGGTCGGAGGCAGAAGCGGTTCACACCCGAGGAACTGTTGCAACGACACGTGCGGCGCAGCGAGTGCAAGGGCTACAACAACAAGAGGTGCTGCAGACACGAGATGACGGTGATGTTCAAGGACCTGAAGGGCTTCGACTTCATCGTCTACCCGAAGAGCTTCGACGCGGGCTACTGCAAGGGTCGTTGTCCGCCACTGTACAACCCGGCGCATCATCACGCGCTGCTGCAGAGCCTGCTGTGGAAGGAGGATCGCAAGAAGGTGCCGAAGCCGTGCTGCGCGCCCAGCAAGCTCAACCAGCTGATGGTCGTCTATTTCGACGAGAAGAAACCCACGGAGCTGCAGGTGTCCTACTGGCACAATATCACGGTGGAGGAGTGCGCCTGCTCCTAAGGGAGCTGAGCGAAGGAAGTTGGAGCTGGATGGAGGAAAGGGAGAAGGAGAAAACAGTCTACCATCGCCGAGGACTCACCAAAGAATCGTCCGAATTGTAGTTCGGTGCTGCCGCACGCGGTCGCGGTCGCGCCGATGCGACGAGCCTCGTTCAGAAACCTCGAGTTTCCTTGGAATTCGTCGGACCCGTTGAAATAAGTAACGTAACACGTAAATAATGATCGATGATGATACATTGATATAACGGTTGTATATTAATATTAATGCCTATATTAATATCAATACCGTTATTAACAGGTACTATTAATACAGATAGAGATAAAAAATATAAGAGAATGATAGTCGTTCGTCTTCGGGATTTCCACGCACCCTTCGTACGATCTTTCCGGACTTTCGACTCTCTCCTAAGTCCAGACGATTCTCAAAGTCGGTGCGAGGAAACCGAACATCGTCGGTCTGTCTTTCCTTCTCGCACGAGCCGAACGACGTGAGGCATCACCGAACTCAGACCCCGTGACTCGCGCGGGTCTCGCATTGACTGTGATACTAACGATATTTACTTGTCATTATATTCCTTATTACGTAGCGATCGTATTTTATATCACTAGGACATTTTTGCTATGTTCTGGCCTGGTTGAAAGAAGGAACGGGAAGCGAGAGATGTTCGCAGTAACGAGCTCTCTCGCACTTTTGTCGTGGTTTCGTCGTCGTCGACGACGACGACGATGATGACGGCAACGACTACCGTTTATTTCAATCACGTGAGCGTCTCCCCGCAAACGAAACGCCATAATCATTGTGTAACTATAGCGCACACCTTACTATCTGTTAATTTATTACAATCACATAGGCTACGTTGGGCTCTCGCGAAACAAGCGAGCCGTAAGTTGATGTTTATTAACATAACGTGACGTAACTGAAGTCTTCGCTCTACCGAACCTGTTTTGTATCAAGGTTTTATTAGTTCCTATAGAGTATTATGAATAGAATCTCGAGTATCCTTTAAAAATCTCTCGGATCGAGTGCTCGCGGAAAATGTACGCGCGCGTGCATTACATTCTTAAGGAATTCCAATGTTTCGCAACGAGGTCTGCGCTTAATCGGTGGCCGTCGCGCGTAACTCTTATGCATGTCGCGAGAATTTTGTGCTCTAACTGTCTGTGAAATAGTGGTATTCGCATTTTAACTCTCTGTGGAGTAACATATCGTATTTATATCGAGCGCAGAATAATAGAATTGAGATAAGGAATCATCGCTGTGTACGCCCCGATGTGCGAAATTGTGCGAAATTTACGACGTGTCTTGCGCATCGTTACGAATTACGATTCAATTAGCCACGGGCGGCGCCGTTTTATCAACGTTATTCGTGTCTCTTAATCGATTGTGAAGAAATTATTCGAACGGTGAAGATCTATTCACGATTTATAGCGAAGTCTTAAATATATGATCTATCAGTTTCCAATAGAAGCGGCGTGTTTATTTCCTCACTCCTACTTTTTACACTGGTATTTAAGTGAACTACGATTTTGAAAATATGAGACGTATAAAGTAAGAATTAGATATCTTGATATACCTTTCGGTATTTTGTGCCAAGAATTTTCCTTAGAGAAAATATAAAAAAAAAAAGATCGATCCCACAATTCTTTCAAGTTCAAATTTACATCTCAGCAATTATGCATCAAGTAAGAATTTAGATATAATATTCGTGCACTTTCTTAATTGCAAAAAATAAATAATATATAATATTTTCATCCACATACACACACACACACACACACACACACACACATACCTTACACACGGACCTTAATCCGCGGAGAGAACTCTTCTTAGCAAAACAAATATATATATATATAAAAGAATCAGATTAGTTCCACAATTCTGATCTATATCTCAGTAATTATACATCAAGTAAGAATTGAAATATTAATATATTCTCTCGTGTATCTTTAATTGGAAAATAAATAATACATAATATTTTCGCCCACATATGAAGTTTGATCCGCGGTGAAAATTTATTAATGACTTTTAGTAGCGGTATCTTCGATAACAAAGATTCTGCAAGAAATAACGCCAGGTCGATTTCTCGCATACTTCCAGAACTCGCGGGATAACTTTAATTATAACAAACGATACTTTAAAATTAGAATCGTACAGCTGTAAAATATATCGTCACTATTTAACAAGTCGAATCGAGCGTTACGATTTTATGAATAAGAAAGGAATCTCCAATCTAGCGTCGCGAGGTTATCTCGCCACGACAGCAATAAAATTTTATTGAGCGTAACACTGCTTACCCCGTTTGAGTTCGAAGATTACCGTGTGCATTATGCAACCACGCGCATTCCGGTCGCATGGACGTTGAGTTTTAAAAAATACTTTAATCAGGGATATTTAATTGGCGATAAAGACGTGGAATGAAATGATCGTCTCCGTTTCTTTCTCTTCCTCTGTAAAGCAATATCGTAGTTTTATCCGCACAAGCGAACTGTCGACTAATAACAAATCGGCCAGTACCGAGAGATAAAATCATTCGCGACAATGTCTTCAAAACACAATACGAGTTAAAAACCTCATCCGCGAACGTTCCTTTCTCTACATACAGCAGAGCACGCGATGTGAAAGAAGTGAGCGATATGCAAGATAAGAATAACAACTTTATTTCCTGTTTCTCCTCTCACAGGAGATTAATAAATGTCTCGACATATTCGTCTTGTCGATGAATCATTTAGTCTTCGAGGCCCTTCTCCGTGGTTGATTTTGTTGACTTTGTCAACTTTGAAGTGAGCGACGAAATATTCAGCGAGAAAATGGTAAAAGTGACATCGCGCTATAAAAAAGTTTATTTTTTTTTTTATTGAGATTGGAAGTCGAGGTAGTACACACAAATACAGATAGGATATAATGAACTCGTTAACGTATTAATTAACGTGATGTTACAATTTTGTGCGTTATAAATAAGATATGATTTGTTAATTGTATACTTTAACTTTCGTCAGAATAATAGTAACGACAAGGTTCCAGAAGCATTTTAAAACTTGAAGTTTCTAGTTTCTCAGTATATTTTCAAATGCAAAGCCCATTTCTTACAGCGCTACACGAATATAAATTGACGTTTATCGAATATCAATATTCTTTATAAAGTTTATCGAGTTACGCTACATAAACAAAAGATCGTATGTAAACACCATTTACATTATAAAAGTACAAATTTTCTCCTTTAATTTGTATACAAACAAATAAAATTTGCTTTTATCGAATTATTTAACACAAAAACACGAAACATCCTTTTAATTTCCATCACTTATAAAAAGTGAGTGAATCGGTGTATGATATTATTTAAAAAATTAATTGAAAGTTTAAAGTTTTTTCTTCAAAACGCATTTATCAGATTCTTGGTACAGATAAATTTTTTATATTAAGATTCAACTAAATAATGAGACTGAAGATAATGTTGTTAGTTTTCACTTAACTTGATATATTTTCGTCAAAAACGACATTGAAATTATGATATTTAAATGACTTGAAACTAGAGACTTCAAACAATAAAATGGTTCCTAAAACAGTTATGAATAATAAAAAATATTTAACTTACTGTTAAGTAGTATTACTTGAAAAGTCAAGGTACACTTCACCCATTGTAGAAAGAACATACTACGATTTCAAATCATAGTTAAGGAAAGTGGCGGCTCGTAGCGACGACTTTGGAACTAATAAAAATAACGGGTCTAATACATATAAAGGGTTTAAATTATTGTAAAAGACAATTAGTCGAGACTCGAACTTTTTTAGTCAAGACTCAAACCTTTTGTAGAACAAATTTCTACTCAACACCGTCAGATGATATATGGAAGTTATAAATTTAAATAAGGGTCTAATATTCTTTAAACCCATTATCTTGACAAGTTAATTTTTTAGACTTCTTATGATTGTTAGATCAATTATCCTTGCGGATTAGCTCTATAAATCTATTATATAATTAAATCCTTTATTCTACGAGCCATCACTTCGTCTCTTTGATAAGGAATTGAAATCGTGATATATCTCAATATTGGATCAAAAATATCTTCACTTTTCACAGTTAGTATACATCCACGTTCAACAATTTATTCCTTCTCAATGAATAATTTCTGAAATATTTCTAATATACTTTATAGTACTATAAAACTATTCATTAAACTAAAATATTTCAAATGTTATATAATTATGTGTGTGTTCAATGATATTTAATATAATATAATATATTATTACCAAAGAGAAACCTCCCAGATAACATGCATGTCTAAAAGATGTCGAAAAGATATCTAAAAGATATCAACAAAATGTTGCATAAGATATCTTTTAGATATCTTTTTGACATCTTTTAGACATGCATGTTATCTGGGCTGAGAGCGGCTACCAGTTTGATTTTAGTGGCCAGAGCTAAGCGCCATTTCCAAACGCCATCTAACAAAGTGCGCATTTACGACGTTCGTTAGGCGTATTTTCGTGGTAACGATAAATATTCCGTAACTATTTATCGATAATTGTCGGATCGGTAGACGTCATTGTGCAGCTTTTCTATGATATAAAAAAGCTACGCAATGTCTACCGAGCCGACAATTGTTGGTAAATGGTTACGGAATAGGACCCCTGGTTCGTACCTGTTTTATTTTCGTACAATAATAGTAAGTTAGAAAAGGACAGACGTCCAATCGCTCTGTTCTCGTCTCACCACTGATGAGCAGACCGCGTGACGTAGACACGAAGCGAGCTAGCGGCGAACTTATCGTAAAGATCATTTCTCATCAGTCTCGTCTTTCTCGCGCTACGTTTGCGTAATTTTGCAAGCAAAAAAAATTTGGAAACTGGACAATATGAAATAATAAATAAATTAAACAATATACAGATTTAAACATGCCGCTCATATTTTTTGCTTATTTCCCGGCAACCATAAAAGATATCGATGTGATTCAAAGAAAACAATGTTCTCCACAATATATCTTGTTGGAATTCAGAATTTACAATAATAATAATAATATTAATACTATTAATAACGGTTCGTTAAATAAGTCGTGGAAGCGTGCGTACTTTTCGACAACACTGACAGCCATTTTAATACCGATTGCATTTTTTGGGCATTCCTCGGCAGCTATTAAAGATATCAAGGTGATTCAAAGGGCATTATCTGCCCCACAATTCATCTTATTGGAATTGGTAATTTATAATAATATAAATAATACAGGAGACCAAACAACTCGGTTCGAATCTCGGCTCAATAGTTTAGCGGAGACTCCAGACATATTGGTTCGAATCGCGCGTTTATAATTTAGTGGGAAAATTAGGTGAGATATGAGGCCTGTTCTTTGTAGCTGCACTGCTGAACTAGTGCAATAAGGTAAAGTGAGAAAATGTATATTTGTCTCACTTCACTATATTGCGCCAGTTCAGCAGTGCAGTTACAAAGAACAGGCCTATAGTGAATCCAATGTTAAGAACGCGACTTTGGGATATTGGAAAATTATTTTCAACATTTTGTAATTGACCTCTCGCAACCTCGAAAATTACTTTAAAGGACTGTGAAAAATTATCCTAGAATGTACTCTACACGTTAAAAATTATCCTAGAATGTACTCTACACGCACATTATATGACCTAATCTGCAGTAACATGACTGACTTTAGGCCCATGCATAGGTACCACTGCGCAAGAATCCAAATATAATGCTACGATTGATCTAACGTTATGAATACGGCTTTGGGCTATTGAAAAATTATTTTCAAGATTCTGGTCGTGTTACTGAGGGAGCAGAGTGACATTAAGGCACGTTGTCATCCAAGAGACGGTGCAGAACGAAATATGCGCACTTCACATCATTTTCGATAATATATCTTTGCAAATGCAAAAATTTCTTTAAGCAACTTTAAAAAATTATCCCAGGTTTAACTAACTCGGCTTAATAAATTAGCGAAGACGCAAAACACTTCGTTTTGAATTTCGGCTTAGTAATTTAGCGTACAGAAAAAAAGATTTGGTTGAATTAACCAAATATCTGGTCGAATATAAACGATCCAGAAATTCCGATTGAAGTAACTCAAATTCTGTTTAAGTTAATAAAATTTTTGGTTAACTTAAACAGAATTCGTGTTACTTCAATCGGAATTTCTGGATCGTTCATATTCGACCAGATATTTGATTAATTCAACCAAACCTTTTTTTCCGTGCGAAAACACAAAACATATCAGTTGGAATCTCGACTTAGTAATTTAGCGGAGCCTCAAAACACATCGGTTCGAATCTTGGCTTAATGGTTTAGCAGAATCTCAAAACACTCGGATCCGTATATTGACTTAATAATTTAGCGAGAAATTGAAACATTTCGGTTCGAGTCTCGGCTTAATAATTTAATTTGTCTTTAATTTGTTGAAATTTAATTTGTCGTCTTGTCAACAACAAACGCGTATATATAAGAAAATATCTCCGAATAGATATTATATCGTATATAATACGACATAACAAGTTATAAATTATATTAATCAAATAGTATATATAGAACATATACATAGGATATATATAAAACATATATAGAGCATAAAAAAGCATATATAACATATACAGAGAATATAAATATGACATGTTGAAATATATCAGTTTAATGTATCATCAAGAAACAATTCGACGAGAAGAAAGCCTAGTCAAAATTTCAATTTTCCATTATTATGCAAGAATGATCCAATTAAAAAAATTATAAGCTTTTATCAATGAATACTCTATCCACATCTTTTTAAACTAAACAAGAAAAATGCAAGCTTTATAGATGCTTGAAATGAATTATGAAAGTTCTTTTATTTTTTACCAATCGCGTCTTTTGGCAAATTTTTCTAAGGATTGAGCTAGTCAGTTCTTTTAAAGAAATAGAATTGTTTGACTCGTTGAACTATTACGAAAATCTCAGAGCTAAATTCTTTGGTTGGATCATTCTTACGTAACTCCGGCGAAATGCAAATTTCAATTCTTACTTTACTTCCCGTCGGACCCAATGCGATTTACGTCTACATGCATGCAATCTACGTAAAGTGACGCTTTGTGTCTACTATATGAGCGTCTAAATTGAGCGCTCACCATTGTGCGTCATCCCACGGTGTCCAGGATCCACCAGCCATCCTGTCACTGCATCTGACACTGCAATGATCTTCGCGTCCCACGTCGCCTGTAATTCATTCCCGACCACGGTAATCTAACGGAGGTTTTACGAAAAATCCCGTCTCTCTTAGGGGATATACTCCGAATTGCGAATTGCATATGAAATATCGCGAACTGCGTCTTTGAGGATATGTTGGCCTTTCGGATAAACGACGAGTATGTGCGACGAACTCAGCAATGATCCAATCGAGTTGTAATGTATCGCTTTGATACACGCGCGACGCGAATCGCTTACGAAGAAAATAGAATCCGCGAGCGAAGGAAACACGCGACGTGTATCGAAGGCCGATCTCGCTAAATCTTTCGACGCGTGGGCGAAGTAATCTGTGTGAGATTCTCACGTACGACGCGAAATATCCCTAATATGACGTTTCGATGGTGCAGCGTAGTAGACTGCAATACAGCTCCGCAATATTTTTACGAAGACAATTCCGCAATACTTTTGCGGATAAGAGCTCCGCAATATTTTTGCGAAGACAATTCTGCAACATTTTTGGGGATAACAACTTCGCAATATCTTTGTGAAGACAATTCCGCAATATTTTTGCGGATAATAACTCCGCAATATTTCTGCAAAGTTCGTTCACGATACTTCCGCGAATGAAAAATCGATAACTGTGAAAATAGCGACGATAGAAAAAAAATTTATTCCGAATTTACGCGAGAAAATGTTATCGTTATCGCGTGAGACATCTGTCTTCTCAACGAACCTGAAATTCGCGAAAACCTTTCCCCGCAATATTTCTACGAAGGTCGCTCGCGACGCTTTCGCGATTTCGATTCGGCAAAATTTGCAAATCTGTCAAATTAATAATCGCGGACGCAAATGAAAAATTGAAAACTGTGAAAATAGCGATGATAAAAAAAAGATCTATTCAAAGTTTACGCGAAAAAAATTTTATGGTTATCGCGTAAGACATCCGTTTCTTTAACAAACCTGAAATATTCTCAAAAACCCGCGATATTTTTGCGAAGACAATTCCGCAATATTTTTGCGGATAACAGCTCCGCAATACTTTTGCGAAGACAATTCCGCAATATTTTTGCGGATAGCAGCTCCACAATACTTTTACGAAGACAAGTCCACAATATTTTTGCGGATAG